CATCAAAGGGCCGAGTTGGAAGACCCCTGCTTTAGGTCTTTGGGACCAGAGTTAGGGAGTCAGGCAGGAGATCTTGAGAAAGGGAGCTGCAAAGGACAAGGGTGATCCATTTCCTCCCCCCATACACACACCCTAACATCCACACACCCTGGATGTGACACTGCAGAAAAGGACGTCGGTGGATCAACTGCTCCTAGAGGGAGATTCCTCTTCGAGGTTTTCCCAAAAACAAACAGGCCCGGCTGCACTGAAATAATTATCACAAAACTCTCCCCCCCCCTCCCTCCAGCCGAGGAATCTGCTAGGGATAAAAGGATGTTTTTAAAGCCAGGAGGCAAATATTGTAGCCTTGCTGGCAGAAGGATGGGAAAGACGGCAGAGAGGACAATGTCCAGGGTGTGTTGTGAGAGGCACGTACCTAGGGTCGCTTAAGCTCCCTCCAAGGAGCGACAAGCCCAAACCTCTACTACTCGTTTGCTCCAACTTGGCACTTGGCAACTGCAGTGGGCTGCAATTCCCACGAGGCTGGGAGAAAAATCTGGAGAATGTCAGGCTGAACGGGGCCAGGATAAAACCTATGCCGGGCTAACTTGAGTATACAGATTTAGCTGTTTCCAATAAGTGCTGATACAATCTACAGTACGTATGTCAAAACACTTTCGGACTCCTTGATGTATTCAGAAAGACAGAAAAGCGAAAGAAAGAAAGAAAGAAAGAAAGAAAGAAAGAAAGAAAGAGAGAGAGAGAGAGAGAGAGAGAGAGAGAGAGAAAGAAAGAAAGAGAGAGAAAGAAAGAACGAAAGAAAGAAAGAAAGAAAGAGAGAGAGAGAGAGAAGGAAGGAAGGAAGGAAGGAAGGAAGGAAGGAAGAGAAGGAAAGAGTGAGAGAGAGAGAGAAAGAAAGAAAGAAAGAAAGAAAGAAAAAGAAAGAGAAGGGAGGGAGGGAGGAAGCGAGGGAGGGAGGGAGGGAGGGAGGGAGGAAAGAAAGAAAGAAAGAGAAGGAAGGAAGGAAGGAAGGAAGAAAGAAAGAAAGAAAGAAAGAAAGAAAGAAAGAAAGAAAGAAAGAAAGAAAGAAAGAAAGAAAGAAAGAAAGAAAGAAAGAAAGAAAGAAAGGAGACCACTGCAGGCTGGATTTCTCTGGAATGCAAGTTGAAACACTGCTTACTCCAGAAGCCTCAATGCACCGTCTTCTCACATGCTCTAAACCAGGGGCGAGCAATTATGGCCATTTTGATGTCCTGCGGACTTCAACTCCCAGAATTCCTGAGCCAGCTAGGCTGGCTCAGGAATTCTGGGAGTTGAAGTCCCCAGGTCATCCAGTGTCCATACTTGCATACCCCTGCTCTAAATAAGTCCCACCTCCCCTTTTTCTCCTGAAAGTCTGTCCTTTAAATCCAGCTCTTGATTACGTCCTTTCTAAGGGGGGGGCTGGCCTTGGAGACAGCTGCGTCCCACCCTCTCTTAGCATTTCCTAGGGGTAGCTTCTTCCTACTCCGTCCTGTACTTTCTCAACCTGAAGGAGGGACGTGCGGGCAGGGCGATGCCTCCTTCCGTTGTGTGTTTGCATGGAATCTAACTTTGGCTCCCGCACGGGGAAACTTTTCCAGAAGTCTTTGTTCCCGGAGAAAGCCCGGCCAGCTTCTTCTCGTCAATGAATTCCCCTTTTTCCTCTCCGGGGGCTTGTAGCCTCCCCCCAGACCTCCTGCCAAACAAGGGCAGACCGACCTGCATTTTTCTTGAGGTCAGGTTCACCCCAGAGAGGGTGGAAGGCAGGTTCTGGAACTTTCTTTTTACACACACACACACACACACCCAAGCGTGGGAGAGCCGCCATCTGGGAGAGGACCGCTCTTCCTAGCCCCTACCTGGGATCAAAGATTCAAAGGGGGGGAAGAGAGAAAGACACTAATATTGGGTGCTAATGAAATAAAAGTCTGGGAATCAGGCAGGCTGTGCTTCTCAGAGCCACCTCTGGATCTGCAGCTGCTCGCTCTTCTCAACTAGACGGGCATTGCCCCACCATCCTTATCTTGGCTCCAAATATGCATGGACAGGTTTGGGGAGGAAGTGGGTTTCTCCCAGCTGCCACTGAGGCACGGGCGTGCAATCGAGATCACTTAAAACGCGCTACTCTTCCTAAACCAAGTCTGGCAGTCAAGAGGTGCCAGTCACAAGAGAGAGAAGATATTTCCACTCGATTTTAGCCAATGGCTAGGGTAGGGGTCCTCCACCGTGGCCACTTTAAGACTTGTGGACTTCAGCTCCCAGAATTCCTCAGCCAGCTTTGCTGGCTGAGGAATTCTGGGAGTTGAAGTCCACAAGTCTTAAAAGTGGCCACGGTGGAGGACCCCCTGGGCCAGGGGTAGGCAACCTTGGCTCTTTTATGACTGGTGGACTTCAACTCCCAGAATTCCTGAGCCCGCATGGGGGAACTATGGCCCCCTCATGACTCGTGGACTTCAACTCCCAGAATTCCTGAGCCAGCCTGGCTCAGCTTGGAAACTTCTCCCTTTCCCCTCAGCATGGCTGGCTGAGGAATTCTGGGAGTTGAAGTCCACAAGTCATGAAAGAGCCAAGGTTGCCTACCCCTGCCCTGGGCTAAGGGACCCTGGACGTGCCAGTTAGGGGAGGGGGAGAAATCCTATGGAAACCACCTGCAGCTTACTTTGCCGAGATCAAACTTGATAGTTCCTGATTTAACGCCACCACCGCACCTTAAGAGCAAGATTGAGCTGATGCCCCTAGATCGGGGGACTTCGGGAATTCCTGCCTTGTGAATCTTCACCAACTGGAAATGAAACCACAGTGAGCATCCTTCCTCTGCCGATTCTAGCCGGGCTACTCGACCGATTTTCCAATGTCAAAACCAGCAGCCAAACAAGGCATCTAGCCCTCAAGCCAACCTCTGGCTAGAACCATGAACATCTCAGCAGCTGGAACATGCCAGGGCTATTCTGGGCAACTTTCTACCACAGGGATGGACAACTCTTGACCCTAGACAACCTGTGTGGAATTTGATTCCCAGAATTCGATTCCCATTCCCAGGATGGCTGGCTGAGGAATTCTGGGCGTTGGAAGTCCACCCGTCGTCAAAACACCCGTGTCCTGTCATATTCCCCGCTGGATTCACACCGGACTCCCAACAAAACCAAACGAAACGAGCCCCACTGGGGTAGCATTTTTTTGACTAGCCAAGCTGCATCCTGAAATTGTGCGGGACAGCCTGACAGCTTTCGCAAAAAAAAAAAAATGAAATTAAAAAAAAACTAGCTAGCAGCAAGCGCGGCCAGTTACACGGCCGTGCGTTGCCCGGGACTGGAAGGCTATTGTCGACTTTCCTAAAATTGGATTTATGGCCAGGAGGTAGGAGGAGAAAATAAGAAGGAACAGGAACGGTGAGAACAGAAACGATGCTGTTATTCTTTCCCAGCTGCAGGGAAGAACGCCCCCGCCACGCCCGTGTCGCGGGTCTGGAAAACATACCTGAATCCCATTAGTTCATACAAAGTTCATATAACTGCGGTCACAAGCTTCCTTTAAAAAAAAAAAAAAAAAAAAAGCAAAAAAGTTGAGGTGGGGGATGCCAGGTTTAGGGTTTGGAAGGAAAAGAAAAGATGATTGACAGCACAATCGACAGTATTTCTCATGATACATAACTCCACGGTCATCCGCCACCACGTGTCCCATTTTTTTAAAATAGGCTTTTAAGAGCAAGAAGCAATTATCCCTCTAAAGTTCTCGCTGGAATTTGGTGAATGTCTCCCACGATCCTCATCCATCAACTTGCCATATATATATATATATTTATATATACTTTGTGGTTTTTTTTTGTCAACGTAAATAAAATCACACTGTAAAATTGCATAATTACTAGAAGAGCCTGTTTGAACTCATTTCCACACGGATGTTCAAAATACCAGGAAAGCTCCCAAAAAAACAAAAAATGGACGAAATTCATCACCCTGCATTCCGAGAAGAACTGCGCTGATTCGGGTCGGTTCGATGCCACTTCTTAGCCTGGGGAAGGGGTTTTGGGGGGGACTGGTGGGGAGGGGGGGGCTAACGAAAGAGGACAGTTGTCGGGGTGTCGGGGTACTTTGGGGAAGTGCAATTCAAGCCACTTGGAGGGTGCTGCTTCCTGCCAGATGGGACCCACTGTTGAGGAGGTCTCTCTCTTTCTCTCGTTGGCCTCCTAGGAACCAGACTTTAGGTGAAAACGGTCACCAGCTCAGCCACAGTGAAAAAGCTGGGGAGGGGGCGAGGGAGAAGCCAGCGCGGAGAATCCCCTGGACTGATACATTCATGGACATGCTCTGCTGTTCGTTCTCCCCGGCAAAGCCTGGCGTTTTGGCCACGCGGCGTGCACTCTAAGTAAGAGACTGGCTGGCAACACACACACCCTCCTCCTTCTTAGGGGTCCCTGAAGCTATCTAACTGGAGAAACCCCCCCCAACCCACCCACACCCCTCTATTCTCCCGACGCAACACGGTCTGCCCGGCGTGTGTCCAGAGGCTACGTAATACTTGGGATAGGAGGACACCCGCCGGGATGGAAGGACGGGGGATTTTTTCCCCTCCTTCCCCAGGGACACCCCCATGGTGGAGATGACACACACAGCCATGACACACGAGGCGGCCTTTTCACAATGTATTGACCGGTAGATCCCGTCAAGAAAGACCCTCTCAGGCCCCCTCAGTATCCTGCGTCAAGCTAACCGCCCCCGGTTGCCTTTTTCGGGGTGGGAAGGGGGCGCAAGCGGGGAAGAGTCCAAGAAGGCAGCAACTGCTTAGAGGCTGTCGTCTACGGCACATGCAAAAAAAGTCATCTCTCTCTCTCTTTTTCAAAAGTAATCGGATAATTGTGGAATTAGAAGGGGGCTGAGGCAGCCGTACGAGGTAACTCTGGTTCGGTGGGTGCGTGCTCTCCTCTCTCTCTCTCTGTCTCTGTCTCCCTCTCTCTCTCTCGGTCACTCTCCCAGGTTAGCTTATATATCTATATATGCTTACTTCTGTATCTGGAATATAAAGAGACGCAGGTTGATGTTCTTGGCGGCCAGCAGTTTGTTACACTCCACGGAGTCGATGATGGGGAGCGGCAGGTACTCCGTCTCGTTGCTCTCGTTGGAGAAGACGAAGTGGTAGATGACCGGGTTGATTTTCACGTCGTCGTAGGGTCCCTTGAGCAGCAGGAAGGAGCACTCCACGGGGGAGCTGACCTTGCTCTTGAGGATGAGCTGGAAAGAGAGGGTGCGCTTACACGACAGGTTGGGGTTGCGCTCCGAGTCGTTCACCCGGGCCTTCAAGACCCACGTCTGGTTCAGCACCGTAAAGCGGGGCGTCTCGTAGTAAAGGCGCGTGATGAAATCATCGGTCCGGTAGGGACGGAACTGAACCTCTGCAAGACAGCCAGGGAGGAGGGGGCGTTGGGGAGGGGAGGGGGGGGAGGAGAGGGGAAGTGAAGGGGAAAGAGAAAAAAAAACAAAAAAAAAAGGGGAAAAAAAAGCACAATTAAACGAGAGGAACCGGAAGCAGGAAGAAACAAAGCTGAAGTTACCTGTACCTGCTGTGCGCGGCCTTCTCGGACAGGAGACAAGGGTGAGGGTAGCCATTCAGGGCTAGCTAGGGCCAGGAGCAATTTGGCTTGTTGGGGGGGGGAGGGGGAAGGGGATGGGGATGAGGAGGAGGAGGAGAAAAGCAGATAAAATCAATACATTTTCATCAGTGCCAAAACCACCACACAGTTTCGTCATTGCTCAAGAGTGGGGGAGAGAGAGAAGCAACAGGGAAGCTACGAGATGGGTCAACACAACCACGCCCGTCTGCAGCCACGGAGCCTCCGCCACGGAAGGAGGCCCCCGGCCACGGGACAAGAAGCCAGAATCCGAGAGTCGGGGGACAGGCGAGGTCCAGCGCAGGACGGCCTGCCTTCTCCGGTCCCCAAAGGGGGAGAAGCTCTCTCGTCTCGGGGGTCCTCTTGGGTCTTCCGGCCTCGTCCGACTCTTTCGCATCAAAGCCGGCTGCAGCCCCGGCCTAGCTGGGCAGCTCCTGCGCGGCAGCCACCAGCCCGCCTGCAGCTTGCCGTGCCCCAGGACGTTACGCAGCCTTCCGGGACAGCGGCCTCTTCCGGCCTCCGTGTAAGGCTTCTTGGCAGACCAGAGAGCAGTCGCGGGGATGCGTCCCCAAGGCAGACGGCTCCCCGGAGCCCTTACGGACCCCAGAGCAAGAGAAGGCGTGCATAAAAACCAAATCAGACACGTCAGGGAAGGTGGGCACACCTTTATTTTATTACTATTGACAATACACAGGTGAGAAGGCACAACAGTCAGGCATCATCAAAATGCAGAACCAAACGAGGCGGGCTGGAGATGCAACTTCTAAGGTTTTTTTTTTAAATAAAACAAAACAAAACAAAAAAAGAACAGACCGGAACAGTCTGGGGTGGGATACATGAAGACAAAGCACAGTACACCGAAAATCATTTCGAGACTCCATTTTGGAGCTGCCCCCCTTCCCCCCGCTGTCCCCCAATGGTTTTTAGGCCCAGTCCAGTGTCAGTTCTTTTTAAAAGCCTCAAAAAGTCCACCGAGTGTTTTGGGTGATTCGAGCTTTTATCGAGATTGTTGGCCCGGTAATTTTTTTTATTTTTATTTTTTTTTTAAAAAAAAGTCTTTGGTGTCCCAAACCAATGGAGTTCTCCCAGCACAAACTCGGGGGCCAAGGCGCCTGTGTGGGCCCGTTTGGCTTCGTCGGGTGTTTCCAGAGGACCGTTAAGGAGGGCGCGTCGGCGAGACCTGGACAAAGGAGGCGATGGGAGTTATTCAAGCCACACAATCAGCACTTTTGTTCGCTCCGTGTTAAAAGCAGCACCACCTGCCTCTCTGGCCAGAGGCCGTCTCTTTCCTAAGCCTCTCTTCTCTCACAGGCAGGGGGGGCTTCCGACTTTCAACCTTGCACCCCGCTCCGTCCCCACCCGGACCCCCAGCGCTACCCCTGGGCCGCTGCTGGGCTCTGCGGGAGAGCCGTGTCCTCGGGGAGTCCAAATCTGGCAGCGCCTGGAGGTCCTGCTTGCCCCCCCCCCCCNAGCGCTAAGTAACTTGGCTAAGAAACACACTCCGGTGTTCTCTGAGGCTCCAGCCTTGCTTGGGTCCGAGAGCGGATTATATCCAAGGAGACTCTTTCTGTAGGAAACGTGAATATTCATAGGAAAGGAAAGGAGATTTCAGCATCTATTTTCCTCAAAGACACCCCACAGCCAATTAACAAGTGCTTTTTTTTTTTTTTCCATGCAATTCTGCAGAGCCCGCTTTGAGCAGAATCTTTCGAGAGTCAGAGAAGGAGGGGAGCACCCAGCTTACCTGGCCAAGGCAATTTAGATCCACCGGGCTAAAGCGACATTGCTTTCCGTCCCCACCTGGCGAACGTACATTTCTGAGCCCCGAGTGCATGCAGAGGTTGAGGGACTGTGTGGACCCGGTCGTGAAAACCAGAAATGTTTATTTTTTTTGCATGCCAGAAAACGACAGGCCACTGCAAAACTTTCAGGATGCCGACTACGGCAAGCGAGAGGACACTCACCCGACTGAGCAACATCGAAGGTAAGAGAGGCTAAAATATTTCGCCCCCCAAAGAAAGGGCTTTTTGCCCAGAGCTCATGGACACGCTATTAAAAGCGGCAGAATTCCAAACTAGAGGAAACTCAATTATTTAGTAGACATAGAAAAGAGAGAAAGGAGCAGAACCAAGGTGGATTTTAATCGTCTTGTCTTTCTTTTTGGTCGGCCGGCCGTCTCTGACTGCCAAGTCTTACCTGCATTTAAGATCCTTCTTCCACAGGTCACCAGTGCAGCCCAGTGGCGTAATCAGCAGAAGGAAGAAGGCTTAAGAACGGCTCGGTTCTGCTCAAGAGGCCTCGATCGTACACACAGAATTTGCAATTCCTTCCCCCACCCCCCCTTCCACAGCTCCTTCCCCAGACCCTTAGCGGAATCGGTGCAAGTCAACCACGGGCCTCCCTTAAACTTGGATTCTCAGACCAAACCAGAGGGAAATCTCCAGGAACCAACATTTGGGCTAGCAGCCCTGTCTGACCAGCAAAGCCTCCCCTCTTCTGAACAAGAGTTGCTGCATGTTAGGTAAGAGAAATAAGTTAAATCAGCAGATGGACTCATCGCCAAAAACGACAATGCCAGAAGAGAAGAAAAAAAAACACACACACACACAAAAAAAAGCGCGAGAAGTCGCCAACGCCGGTCCTTGCGTCCCGAGCCTGGCCGCGCTCCCAATAATTACCTGTGTAACCGATTTTCTCGAAGCTGAGCAGGCCGAAGATACTGTTGTAGAGCTGCATTTCCCTTTTGTGCGTTTGGTCCATTTCGTCCAGAATCTCCATCAACTCGTTCCCCGTCTTGGTGGGGTGGGTGCACTCCGCTTCGTGGACGGTCAGTTCGTGGAAAGGGCCTTGCCACGGGCACCCGATCCGCTTGTACTTGCACTGCGTCACCCTGCAGATTGAAAGGGGGGGGCAGAGCTCCAATGAGCGGGAAGCGAGGGCCGCAACGATGGGAGACCGCGGTGGGCCAGAACGGGACGAGGCAAGGCTCAGAGGCACAGACACCAGACTCCATTGCTTGCCAGAGAGAGGATCTGCTCAAGGAAGAACTTGCAAGACCATCTAATCCAGGGGTCTTCAAACGTGGCCCTTGGATGATTTGTGGACTTCAACTCCCAGAATTCCTCAGCCAGGGTGCTTTAAGACAGGGGTCTTCCAACTTGGCCCTTTTGTGACTTGTGGACTTCAACTCCCAGAATTCCTCAGTCACGATGCTTTAAAACGGGGGTCTTCAAAGTTGGCCCTTTGATGACTTGTGGACTTCAACTCCCAGAATTCCTCAGCCTAGACCCCTGATCTAGACTGCATGAACCGAAAGCATGGCTGGCTGAGGAATTCTGGGAGTTGAAGTCCACAAGTCATCAAAGGGCCAAGTTTGAAGACCCCTGATCTAGACTGCATGAACCGAAAGCATGGCTGGCTGAGGAATTCTGGGAGTTGAAATCCACAAGTCATCAAAGGGCCAAGTTGGAAGACCCCTGATCTAATCCTACCACGGATAAGAGCCAAACATTCATTTAAACTGAACAGAATGTACCAAAGGAAAAGAGTATTTGTCACTCAGAGTGGAACAGAATGGATCTGATTTTATGCACAAAAGCCTCTATATCCAGGAATCCCTACATTCTTACGTGCACCTTTTCTCCTTTCAATCAGGCATACATTATATGAAGCCGGTCTCTCTCGTCTGTCCTGAATCTGTGGCCAGTTTCAATGGAAGGCCTCCGGGATCAAATAAGACTGCTTTTAAAAATCTCTTGCGTTCTACATTTAAAAGAAGAACCATCAGCCAAAGAGCTTCCCAACTTCAACCTTTCTTTATAGATCCTTCGTATGGTGTTATGAGAGCGACAGCACGATTGTCAAATCCTTTTCTAATGAGATCAAGACTAACAGTTGACAGGTTCGCTAGCGAAATTAGCAGCAGCTGGCAAGAAACGTTTGATCACCCCAAGGCTGTTCCCTTTGTTTATACAATTAAGTAAAGTTCTATTAGAACAGCGGTCTCAGGGGGGACCGCCGATTATTTCTGAATACCTATTGAGTAGGCTTTTTATGTGTTTGTTTTTCTAATGAAATGCACCATATTTGTATTATTTGTTTATGTTTACTTGAAAAAATTAATAAAAAATTTGTTTAAAAAAAAAAAAAAGAACAGCAGTCTCCAAACTGGGCAATTTTAAGACTTGTGGACTTCAATTCTCAGAATTCTGGCTGAAAATGGCTGGCTGAGGAATTCTGGGAGTTGAAGTCCACAAGTCTTAAAAGTTGCCAAGTTTGAGGACCCCTGTGTTAGAGTATAATATGGGAAGATTTTTATTCTAATTAGGCTTTATCCTCTCCGATTTAACTATCTTGATCTCTTTCTTTATCAAAAGCATCACATCAGGCAAACCCAGGCTGCTATGCACCTCCCTTGACGCAGATGTCCCTTCCATCAGCACTCCAGGATCTAACTATCCCAGGCAATCAAGGTAAGAGGCTTTCTTAAAAGTGTTGTTGTTGTTGTTAGTTGTGAAGTCGTGTCTGACCCATCGCGACCCCACGGACCACGTTCCTCCAGGCCTTCCTGTCCTCTACCATCTTCTGGAGTCCATTGAAGCTCAGGCCTCCTGCTTCAGGGACTCCATCCAGCCACCTCCTTCTCTGTCGTCCCCTTCTTCTCTTGCCCTCCATCTTTCCCAGCATCAGGCTCTTCTCCAGGGAGTCCTTCCTTCTCATTAGGTGGCCTTAAAAGTGTACAGCTCCACTTTCCCAGAATCCCAAGAGACAGGCTCACCCCCTAGGCTGGCTGGGAATCCTGGGAGCTGCATTCCACCATAACAAGAGTGACAAAGCCAGACCTAATGGTTTTGCCTTCAATTATTTTATTTTTTGGTTTTTTTTGCACCATAGTAAAAAAAGCAAGCCGTGCCGTTTACCTGTCCTGGCATTCTTCTTTCTGGTGCCTCTCCAGGAGAGAGCGAGGGAACTGCCTCAGGCAGAAGCCACACTCCGAGGGCAGTTCGCTCACGGCTTTTTCCACCGCCAGGTTTCGGCAGCAAAGGCTCTTGCTGATCTCGCAGCGGCAGTTGGGACAGGTAGCCTGTTCCTCCTTCAGCCGGGCATCTGCCAGCAGGTGGATGAAGCATCCAGCACACATCAAGTGGCCATTGGTACACTGTGGGGGAAAAAGGAAAAGCAGAACTTCAGAGGCCTTCTCCAACAGGCAGCACAGAAGCACGCTTGCAAGATAGATACTTTTCAACAGATTCATCCCTGCCCTTCACAGGATTCTCAGGCAGGTGCTGGCACCAATAAAGGAGAATATTTGCAGCTCAGGGTTGAAATGAGGAGGGGTCCTTGATGCTCTCTGAGCTTGGTGGTTTT